AGCTCCAAAACTTGAACATCAAGTGCTCCGTAATATTCCACAACAGGAACTGGAGCTAAGAAAGGAAGCTAGGTTTTGACAAAGTATCAGTATCATCTTCTGAGCCCCAACACCAGCAAGGCCTATTTGTTCAGATTCTTCTTTGTATCTGTATCTGAGTCCTTCACAGATAAGGATGTTCTTTTCTCCTGGTCTGGAAAGGGCATCTCTCCAAAGAGGGGAGAAGAACAGTGGAAGGCAAAAAAGACCTTTCTGCTCCTGCTGCTCTCTCAGACGCCACCGTGTGTATTGAGGGCAGTCTGTTCAGAACCCTTTGAACTTGCTGAGTGCCTTCCAAACCACAGGTTCACCTATAAAATGTGAGTTCATAGTAGCGTCTGCCTCTTACAGTTGTGAGGCTTTCATGGAGTGTCCTCAGCATGACACCCGGCACATGGGCTTGCTCATAAATGCTGGCTCTTGTGATCCATATTTTATTAGTGCTGTTGTCAGTCCTAATACATTTTTATGACTCACCTTTATATTTTAATATATAACAGTATTGGCATTAGGTCACTTTATTTTAAGAACCTTCTGTTATGAAAAATGTGAATTTGTAAAAATTTAAATTTAAATTGACATGGTAAACATCATAAGCAAAGTCAAAAAGATAAATGACAAACTGGGGGAATCTATATTTGCAATTTAGAACACAGACAAGGGGTTTATTTCTCTAATGTATAAAGAACTACAATTCACAAAAAAAGTGGACAGTTGTAAAACTTTTTATGATGACATATTTCCACTTAATTGTGCTCAGATTTCATGTCTTTAACACTTATTCTCAGTCTGTCATATCATAGCTGGGAGCATATACAGCCAGAGATACAGCCGTGATGTATAAACAGACCTGCGTTTTATTTCCCCCATAAAATAGCTCCTTCTCAGAAATGCTCTGTTGCTGTCCTCCACTTAGGCTGATTTTTCCTTGCTCTTCCTCTCTAGGAATTCATTTTTGCTCCAGCCTTTGCCTTGAGGCTGTTAGTCAAGAGAGACACCATCTGCCTCATGACTGAGCCACTGCCACGGTCTCCTTGCCCTTCCCTTGTTTCCTTCTCCAAGCAGTACATTGTCCAATACCAGGATAATCTCCCTAAACATACTTTTCATCAACCTACTGAAAGACCTTTAGTAGATTTTCACCAGCTAGGATGAAGTCTAATTTGTGAACCTGACCTTCAGGGTTCACCTTTATCTGTTTCTCCCTTCTTGGGTTTTTCTCACTGCCTCTTTGCGGGACTCCTCCAAACATCTCGACTGTTTACTTGGCCTGGCCCACTATTCCCATTTGTGCCTTCATTCCCCCAACTTCCATCCAGTACTTGTCGTGAGACCCAGCTCCGTTCCAGTCTGTCTTTCCTAGGGGCGTCAGCCCTTGTCGTACATTGTTTCCTTGCCTCTGGTGTATTTGTTGAGTGCCTGTACTTCTCATCTCATACTAAATCTCTGTTGTAATATTCTTTTAGGTAAATTTTTATTGAAATGGAACACACATATGGAAAAGCATGCAGATCATAAAGAAAAGCACTCAGTGACTTTACATAAGGTGAACATACCCACATCAGCATTCCTTTCTTCTGATTCACACTCTGTCTCCCAAAGGTCTGGGAGACAGAACCATATCATTTGCCTCTGCATGAAAATGCTTAACATGAAGTGCTCAGTAATATTCCACATTGGGAACCAGAGCTAGGAAAGAAACTTGAGTTTTGACAAATAAGACACAGGTAGAAATTTGAAGGACTTCATAAAATTTGCATTACTTACTATAAATTCTTTCTTGACAAATAGTTAGAATTGAAATATATTCCCCCTCCTCCCTTGATTAGAGGTAATATCATTTTGGTTAGTTCTGCTCAGGAATTCCTTGATAGTAACCTATAAATCAAACCTTTGAATCCAGTTTAGACATTACAATATCATTGTTTCTCTTTTAGACATGTAGATATACACAAACACCTTTGTGTACATCTTTGTATCTGTATCTGAGTCCTTCACAGATAAGGATAGCATTAGTTCTCATTTTGCCCAACAAATATTTATTGATCATTTTCCCCCAACAATATTTATTGATCTTTTAAAAAAATTTTAGTTGTAAATAAATACAATGTCTTTATTTTTATGTATTTATGTATTTATTTATTTATTTTAGGTGGACAAAATACCTTTATTTTTATGTGGTGCTGAGGATCAGACCCAAGGCCTCATGCATGCCAGGCAAGCAGTCTACCACTGAGCTACAACCCCAGCCCTTATTGATCTTATTTATTGGTCATACTATTACAGCATATAGTGAGATTTAGCTCCTCCCTCCACAGGGCTTATAGTCTAGTATGTCACTGGAAATAATTGATAGAACTTAAAGGAAGGCTTACTACTAAAAATATAACAATGATTAAACAAGAAAATAACTGAAAATTATTTCTAAAGAATCTGTTACAAAGTCATCATAACTATTCAGAGAGAATAAGAATGCAGAGATAGGAAGGGCTAAAATGAAGATTGGCACTGCTGTGGGGACTTCTAGATAACAAATCCATTTGATGTAGTGTTATCAAAAGGTATGAAAGAAGATGGCAGCTTAATAAAGGTAAATACAAGGTTAAGGACTGCTGAGAGATCTCTAGGCATATACTTAGAGTCCAGCAACTTGGGAGGCTGAGGCAGGAAGATCATAAGTTTGAAGCCAGCCTTGGCAACTTAGCAAGATCCTGTCTCAAAAAGGGAGGGTGGGAACTGGAGTTGTGGCTCAGTGGTTTAGTACCCATGGGTTCAATCCCCAATACCACCAAAAATATTATTAGAAATTTTCTAATTTTCAGTAGCATTTTATTATTTATAAGACACTTCTACTTGTTCTTCTTATTGGATTTCTGCCCATTATGATATTTTACCCCTATGAGGTTGGTACAGTAAGTGACATACCCTTCCCACTTGGCCACATGAATGTTTAGAATCCAACGTTAGCACTCTTTTCACAGCTTGTGTTGGCCTTAATGAAGTATGAGAATTTATGTTCAGCTTTTTCATAATTTTTGTAAATACTGTGTTGATATCACATCCAGTTACCTTTATTATCACCATGTTTTACTATTTCTTTTCAACCTGAAGCAAGAGATTCTTCTTGGCAGATTATGTTGTTTTAAGGTCACGCACATAAGGCAAAATCAGGGTACAGGTAGGTCACTTCCAGCTCCTCCCTGTGGCATCTCCATTACTTGGAACATAGGCCAAGAGAGAAGGTAGAGGACCCACAGGCTGCCAATCCTTTAAAAGTAACTTGTTGAAAGTATTAAGAGCTCACTTTTAATTTTGTTTTGTCTTGTCTTTTATTGCCTCTTTGATTATATCTTTTCTGTACCTAGAAAGCTTCAGTTTGCAAAGCCGTAAATCTGTCAAGTCTCATTTACGTGGCTTTCACTTCAAATTAATGTTTAGCAAAGGGATTAGCAGATAACTCTTTCAGATTCCTGAATTCCTTTACAGAAAAAGGTGGATATGGTTTGAACAGGCTGCCCAAGCCAGGAAGAGAAGTTAATTGTGTAGATCAATACAGGCGAGAGCTGGTCACCTTTCTGAAAAACAAGACATTGCAGCACACAACCTCCAAATAGATCTTTGAGGTCAAGTTGATGTCATGTTGAAGAATCAATATTTACTGGGCTTTGTAAAGTTAGCCTTTAATGAACCTCCGGCATGTTTCTAGGCCATTAATTGCAGGAAGAGGTGACAGTGACTGAAGTTCATGAGTATGGGAGGTGGTATAAATCAGAAGTGAAGAGATAGTCACTTGTCAGTGTGCAAAGCCCCACCTCAGGTTCCACTCAAGCATTGTTTGTACATGTATTGAAAGGCATTCTTAGGGCAGGAGTGTAGGTTAGTGGTAGAATGTGTACTTAGTGTGCTCAAGGTCCTGGGTTTGATCCCCAGCACCAGAAGAAAGGGAGGGAGAAGAGCTGACTTTCTTGGAATCTTACTGACATTTTAAGAAAGAGCAATTCTTGCATCCTAACAGAAGGTAAGATCTTTATTCTTTGATACTCATTATCCAAGCACTGTGTCATTTTTCTGTGACATTTTCTGATGTCATTTTGGATTCTGCCTTATAAATGTGCTAATCACAAGGTCAGGTCCCTCTTAGAGAATAGATCCTCCCTTCTTCGAACACATTTGAAACCTTTTATAAAGAGCATTTACCTGAAGATGCTGGCTTGAATCCCTATCTTGTTAAAGGTTTTTAATAAATAATTATCTTTGCCTTTGTTATGTCCTCCAGTGGAATGCCCCTCTGGTTGTTTTCTGTGTCCCTCACTGGATTGTCCAAATCATTTGTGGGTCAGGAGCCTCATCTTGTATTTATGTTAGTCATTGCTCCTAATAACTGTAGTTGACAAGGGAAAGCAACGCCTTGTATCAAGTTTTATTCTGACTGCAGCAAAAATAAGTTACTAAGGAGTCTTACTTGGTGAGTAACTGCAAGTGAGAAGCAACTTTTTATCAGGCCCTTTGAATCTGGGCGTGCCTCTTGATGTTTATTGCAAGTTCTTGGTCATTTCTGCTCAATAGATAAGTTATTTGACTTTCCAGGTCCCTTTCTGTGGTGCATTTTGCCAGGGGAGACTTTAGGATTAATCACAGGGAAGAACTGGTTGTTCTTTTCTCACTCCACCCCCATCCCTCCTCTCCAAGATAATTATTCAGAATAAATACTGAAAAGAAAGTCAGGAGAGGTTTGTTGCTATTATTCTGGTTTGGTGTTTTTACAGGAGAGCCCCATGGCTGTGTCCCAACTACTAGGGAGGCTGAGGCAGCAGGACCATAAGTTTGAGGACCCTGTGGGCAACTTAGCAGACCGTCTTAAAAAAAAAAAAATTTAAAAAGAGAGAGAGAGAACCTGATATTTAATATATTCATTTGTAATTCTCTTTATTCATTCTGGGTTGTCAATTCTTCCTTTGCAGTTGTTTGAGAACTTCTACTTTGGTTCCCTAAAGCTCAATTCCATTCACATCTCTCAGAGGTTCACGGTAGACAGCTTTGGAAACTATGCCTCCTGTGGACAAATTGACTTCTCCTGAGGTGGATCTTGGGAAGCTCTGGAAACTGAACATCTCATGAGGTGCTGAAGAAGAGTGTATTCACTTTAATTGCCAAGTGGGTGGGGGGGTGTGGAATTCTGGATGGTGATTTCCCTGGGTGGTTCCCCCCTGGACTCACCGATGCCTCTAATGTTCAGCCACAGTCACCACATGGTCAGCCAGATGGTTGTGGGCACAAGATAGTTGTTAGCTTATTCTTCTTTTTCTTCAATTTTTTAAAATAGTAAAATACATATAACATAAAACTATTGACATAAATCTTAACCTTTTTTTTTTTTTTTTGGCACCAGAGGTTGAACTCAGGGGCACTCAAGCACAGAGCCAAATCCCTAGCCCTATTTTGTATTTTATTTAGAGACAGGGTCTCACTGAGTTGCTTAGCACTTTGCCATTGCTGAGGCTGGCTTGGGACTCACGATCCTCCTGTCTCAACCTCCTAAGCCACTGGTATTACAGGCGTGCGCCACCACTTCCAGCAATCTTAAATCTTTTTTTTTTTAATATTTTTAGTTGTAGAGGGACACAATATGTTTATTTTGTTTGTTTAGGTTTTTTTGTTGTTGTTGTTTTTGCAGTGTGGTGCTGGGGATCGAACCTAGTGCCTCACGCTTGCTAGGCAAGCACTCTTCCACTGAGCCACAACCCCAGCCCTTAACCATTTTTAAGTGTACAATTCAGTGTTATTAAATACATGCATAATGTGCAAACATCACCATCTCCAGAACTTTTGAGTCTTGTAAAACTTGAAACTACACCATTAAGCCATACTCCCCATTGCCCACTCTCCACCCTAACAACTGCCGTTCTGCTGTCTTATGGTTTTGACTGCACTAAGCATCTCTTATAAGTGAAATTCACAGTATTTGTCTTTGACTGGCTTATTTTACTTAGTGTAACATTCCCAGCGTTCACACAGGTTGCCTCATATTATAGGATTTCCTTCCTTTTTAAAGATGAATAATATTCCATCATACATACATAATTTACTACCAATAATTTCATCTTGAGCAATCTCAAGTTTGTCAAATCTGTCCATTTTTTTTTGAAGTTAGTCCTTAAAATATTTGTTGGATTTCTGTATCTCCACCCCATCCCCACCCTGGCCTTCCTCTGCCCCCTGTGGAGTTGTACTGTAGCTCTTTTTTGTTTACTTCTCAGGGCAGCAGCAAGGAAATGATGATATCAGCAGACTGTGCGGAGTATGCTGGAAGAATGTCCTCGGAGGAAGGCGCCTGCTTCTTTCAGCAGAGCAACAGAGGGAGGGGTGCCCCCAGCATGGCTTGCCAGCTGTCCCATCAGTCCTCCCAGGTGCTCTGCTGGGGAGCTCCAGTCCTCCTCCCTCATTACAGTCTTTCTCCCTACATGTCCCCTCCTTCCTCGTTTCTTCTTTCCTTAATCTTGATTTTTATTTTCCGTTCTGTAAGTCTCAAACCTGTGTGTCTGGGGAGCTACTTTGTGAGGACTGTGTCTAACCACATTCAAGGATCTATCAGTGGGATTGCACAGGTCATTTGTGAATAAATGAATTTGCAAAGTAACTGCGTGTTCTGTTAGTACCGTCACTTAGTTTTAGTTTGGCTCCCTTAGTGTTGCCCTTACTCCTTCACCACATAGCTGTATCATTCCTGCAGGACTTACATATTGGTGCCTGCACGGGTCAGGTTTTTCCCAAAAGGCCTTCTCTTTCTACTGGTGATACTCATTTTTTATTTAAATTGAGAATTCACCTCACCTTACACTGTCAGGTGCCATATGGCAATTAGTGCTCCTAGTGATGGCACTGAGCCGTGATGCAACCTAGGAGTTTAATGTCCCTTCTCAGTCCTGTCTCTCCCCAGTGCTTCTCTTATAAACCCTTGGGCAGCCTTGGTTGGGGATTAAGATGTCTTCTTTTGGATGTCAAAAATTTATGACTTAGGTTTACAGGAAATTTTTTAAAAAATTTTAAAAGCTGGGTGTGATGCACATGTAATCCTAGCCATTCAGGAGGAACATAAGTTCAAGGTCACCCTGGGCAATTTAGCAAGACCTCATCTCAAAAAAGGTTTGGGATGTAGCTCAGTGGTAGAGCACTTGCCTAGTGTGGACAAGGCCCTGGGTTCAATCCCCAGTACTGCAAAAAAATTTTAAAACCAAAGAGTTTTATTGGGAAGTATAATGTTATATGTCAAATTGTAAATTCTTTTTTTAAATTTTTTTTCTTAGTTGTTGATAGATTTTTATTTTATTTATTTATACATGGTGCTGAGAATGGAACCCAGTGCCTCACACATGCCAGGCACTATGCTGAGCCACAGCCCCAGCCCAAATTGTAGATTCTTTTTATTCTTTTAATTTTAAATTTTTCTTTATTTTTTTAAAATTATTTTTGGGTAGTTGTAGATGGATAGAATGCCTTTATTTTATTTGTTAATTTTTATGCGGTGATGAGGATTGAACTCTGTGCCTCCCACATGCTAGGCAAGCGCTTTGCCCCTGAGCTACAGCCCCTGCCCCTTTATTTTTTTTTAATATTTATTTTTTAGTTATGTGGACACAATATCTTTATTTTTATGTGGTGCTGAGGTCGAACCCAGTGCCTCACACATGCTGGGCGAGCGCTCTACCTCTGAGCCACAACCCTAGCCCAAATTGTAGATTCTTAATCTGTTTTTTATAATCCAGAGCTTACTATTGCTTACATATGTGAGCATATACTGTATTATGAAATATTTTTTAACAAGTTATTTGTCTTTTTCATTCCCGTTTTCTCATGAGTGTACCGTGGAGTTTCTAGAGGCTGCATGACATGGTGACATTGCTCAGATTAGTTAATGGAACATATATACTTGTGTATTATTGTTTTTTCTAGAATTTGTATGCTGCTATTGGAAGACTAGGAAAAATATTTTATCTTAAATTTTCTTTCTAAAAGTCTGTATACAAATTTTGAGTCAAGGTAACATTAAAGGAAATAAGTTTTAACTGGTATTATGGAAGGGTAACAGCTACTATTGATGTAAAACTTTTATGAAAAAGCAACAATGGTAAAGAGCAAGTGTGTGTGTTTGTGTGTGTGTGTGTGTGTGTGTGTGTGTGTGTGTGTGTGTGTTTGGTAGTGGGTTTGGGGTGCTATACCACTGAGCTACATCCCTAATCCTTTTTATATTTTAACTCAGGGCTTTACTAAATTGCCAAGGCTGACCTTGATTTTACCATTCTCCTGCCTCAGCCTCCTGAGTATGTGGGTTTACAGGTGTGTAGCACCATGCCTAGTTACCCTCATTTCTTTAAAGAAGAGGGAGGAAATAAAAATCTGTCACTGCAATAGTATCACAGAATCTGTTTTGCTGTACAAGAAACCTTGTGATGGGGAATAATATTGATTTGAGGGAGAAAGGACACAGTGAATTACCCTAAGTGAACTTCACAGTCATGGTGGTTACATTATAAATGTTACTTAGAATGATTTCTTTTTAATTGATGTCCAGAGTATCCTAAACTGGGCATTGAGTGGAATCCAGTGTCCTGATGATCTAACGATACAAACTCTTGCCCTGTGCTCTTTTTCTGCTGCTATAGGGAACCTCATAGCACCAGAAGTATATTGAGTCAACAGAACACCCCTCACATAAATTCCACCTTTATACTATAGGAGTATGATATGAAAGCCCATGATTGGTAGGAGTGAGGAAAGTTGGCTGCTAGGGGTTTTATTAATGGCTTTAAAAGAATTTTTTTTAAATGTTCTTTTCTCTCTCTCTCTCTCATGTTTGTTTTGGTACTGAGGATTGAACCACTGAACCACATCCTCAGACTTTTATTTTTTTTTAAATTTTATTTATTTATTTGTTTGTTTGTATGTATGTGATGCTGAGGATCAAACCCAGGCCTCACCTGTCCTAGGCAAGTGCTCTACCACTGAGCCATAATCCCAGCCCAGACCTTTAATTTTTTTATTTTGAGGCAGGGCCTTGCTAACTCACTGAGGTTGGCCTCTAACTTGCAACCCTCCTACCTCAGTCTCCAGAGTTTCTGGGATTACAGGCATGTGCCACTGCTTTGGGCTTAAATGTACTTTTAAAACAAAATAAATTCACTTTGTAAATAATCATCAAGTTTGTGCTTTGTGTTTTTGTCAGTATGTGATTTAATTTAAATGTTGCTTAAGAAATAAGTTTTGGGGCTGAGGTTGTGGCTCAGCGGTGGAGCACTCGCCTAGCATGTGTGAGGCACTGGGTTCAATCCTCAGCACCACATAAAAATAAATAAATAAAATAATAAATAAATAAAATTATTGTGTCCAACTACAACTAAAAAAAGAAATAAGTTTTGTCACCCTGAGGTAGAACTATTCCTTTGCATTTTTTTTTAATTTTGTGGGGGGGAAAGGTACCAGGCATTGAACTCGGAAGTACTTGACCGCTGAGCCACACCCCCAGCCCTATTTTGTATTTTAGAGACAGGGTCTCACTGAGTTGCTTAGTGCCTTGCTATTGCTGAGACTGGCTTTGAACTTTTGATGCTCCTGAGCTGCTGGGATTACAGGTGTGCACCAAACCGCGCCCAGCTATACTTTGCATTTTAGGCACATATCAAATATGAGAAGTGAAGTGATTTTTCACAAATAGTAACAGCTAATATAGACAGAATTTTTTTTAAGAAAAGAAAAAAAAAGATGTCTTTCTATGAGTCTATGACTGTATTTAGAAATGGGCCTCTAAAGAGGTGATCAAGTTAAAATGAGGCTGTTAGGGTGGCCCTAATCCAGTGGAACTGAAGTTTCCTCTTCTTATAAGAGGAAATTGGGACACACAAGAAATGCAGAACTAGTACAAGCATAAAAAGACCACGTGAGGACACAGTGAGAAGGTGACCATTTGCAAACCATGGAGATTGATCTCAGGAGAGACCAAACCTGCTAACACTTTGATCTTGAACTTCTAGCCTCCGGAACTGTAAGAAAGTAAATTTCAGTTGTTGCAGCCACCTTGTCTGCAGTACTGTGTTATGGTAGCCCTGTCAACCAGATACCCGGGCTCTAGTGCAGAAACTGATGTGAGAAGCTGCCTGCCATCTTGTAAGCCAGACATTGAAGAGATTTGTGGAAATGTAAAACAGTACCACTCTCTAATTTGGTGGGGACAATGGAAATATAGTTTGTTCTCATAAAATACATTTTTAAAAATGTAAAATGGATGTTGTTTTTTAAATAAGTTTATAAAAAATTTTATTTTCAAGTACAGTAAACTTATATATATATCAATCAATATACAGAACGTGTGTGCGTGTGTGTGCGCGCGCGCGCGCGCGCGCGCGTGTCTGTGTGTGTGTGTGTGTGTGTGTGACATAAAGGTTCTTTGGGGTTCTTAGTAATGTTTGAATGTAAAGAGCTCCTGAGGCCAGGAAGGTTGAGAACCGCTGCACTATACCGTACTTCCCTCCAACTGGGATCCTGTTGTTCATATTACTGTGGTTTAGAAGTGTCCCACAGAGGTCCGTGTGGTGAAGGATTCATCACCAGGCTGTGACACTGGGAGGCGGTAGAACCTTTAGGAGGTGGGTCCTCATGGGAGGAGGTGAGGTTATTGGAGGTTCCCTGGCTGCCTCTCATCTCTTTGCTTCCCAGCTGCTGTGGGGTGAATAGGCCTCCTGCTTCATGTTTGTGTCCTGCTCAACACACAGTGCCATGACAGGGCCAGAGCAGCAGGGCCAAGTGATCATGGCCTAAAACCCTAGGACAAATGGACTTGGTCTTCTTAAAGGTTGATTGTGTCAGGCTCTTCTCTGCTTCCCGGCTGCCATGAGCCAACAGCTCTTTTCCGCGTGTCCTTCTGCCACGATGTTCCGCCGCACCTCAGGCCCAGAGTAACGCAGCCAACTGACCGTGGACCAAAACCTTCAAATGCCTCCGTCAACAGCGAAGCACTTAGGAATCCTGTGACTTCACAGAGCCTGCTGTGCTTTTGTATTATTGACCAACTTGAGAAAAATGCATGATTTGATTCATGAAATCAAGAGTCATTTTGTTTGCCTGACTGGTCATGTGACTGCTGGGAGGCTTTACTCCCACAGGAGTCTAGAGTTCACCAAGAGATAACTTAGATGGTGTGGGCTAAAGCATGTGCATCACTACTACTAGTACTGCTACGATTATTAGGTACTGGGGTTTGAATCCAGGGGTGCACTACCACCGAACTACATCCCAAGTCCTTGTTAAATTTTCATTATGAGACAATCTCACTAAGTTGCTGAGGTTGGCCCTGAACTTGTGATCCTCCTGCCTCAGATTCCTGAGTTGCTAGGATACTGGCAGCACCGCCATAACTGGCTAGAGAAGTGTATTTTAAAACTTTGCCTCTACTCTGGATAAATCTGATGACTGGCCAGATTTTGGAAGTCTAACAGACTATTTTATAGCCTCCATGACAGACAGTAGCTCCACATGTGGTTTCCACCAGAAAGGATGCTTCATAGCGAATCATAGGAGTATTCTAGAACAGCCCTGCAATAAGGGTTTCTTTTTTTCAGATTGAATCAATCTGTGTAATGTTACCTC